TTGTTGTTTTTAATAGAGTATTTTTCAGAGACCTTTTAGGTTCACAGTAAAACTGAGCAGAAAGTACAGAGAGTTCCCATATATCCTCTGTGTTGTATTTTTAACATTTTGGCTAGATGAAACTGCCTAGGAAAAAGAAAGGTATAAGTATAAAGCAAAGGATGTTAACATCCATGGCCTTGGCAAAAATGGAACTCTATCCTGGATCACTCTGCATTCTATTACTACCAGCGCCTGATAACGGCAGGTGTCTAGCATTAAGAGAAGAGTACTGAACTTGCCTTACTTAGCAGCCTGAGAGGCTTGCAAAGAAGCTAGGTGCCAGAGGAGAGGAATATGTTCTCTGTATGCAGTTCTGGCCTTGACAATCACTGTCTTGTTGATTTTTTCGACTCTGAATTTACTTGATGGCTCCACAAATTAGCTTAGATGAAGACGTGATGAGTATTTTACACAATGTCAAGTTCACAGGATGTACGTGCATGTAAAACATAGCTGCAATAAACAAATGAAAAGATACTCAAGATACTCAACTACTACTAATCAGAGAAATCCAAAGTAAAGAATGAGTCAACATTTCACATCCATCAGACTGGCAAAGGTTTTAAGTCTCAAAATAGCAAGTGGTGAAAGAGATGGAGAAACAGGCTCCTAAATGTAGATAATGGGATGGATGCAAACTAGAACCTCCGCTGGTAGAATAAAAAAGACATATGCATGGTCTCCAAACCAGGGCTTTGTCTTCTAGATATAAACCAAGAAGATACTCACTAGGGCTAGAGAAGCAATATACAGTAATATATAAAAATGGAAACAATATATTGCAAAAAAGTTTAAGTAGAAAAAAATATATATAAAAAGGCAAAAAGTTGGGCAGATGTCCACCAACAGGGCAATGGATAAACTTAAGAGTCATAAAATGGAAAGTATTCAGCCATTAAAATAAAGAACCAGAGCCACAACTAAAACTAAAAATCACCACCCCCCAAAAGCTTACCAAGTTTAAATTTTTTGAGGTGCAAAAGGACACACAAAGCATAATGTTTATATAAAATTTAAAAACACGGAGGGAGGGGCCACTGCCTCTCCCCAGTGCCCTGGGAAGGAGTAAGATGACTACTGTCCAGTGTGGCTGCAAATCAGCAAAAGCTCTGAGCGCCCTCCAAATCCCGAGTGTCCCCACACAGTTCCAGTTCAGTCTGCCCTCCCTCTGCAGGAGCCCAAGGATTTATTAAGTACCAAGCTTCTCAATTTCCAGGAAACCAGATGAACTTTATGGCAAGGAGCTGCTTAAAAGCCCGGCTCCTCTGTGGAACCCCACAGTGATGTCCAGGTTTAGCAGAAGCAATTATGGAAGACTGACTGCCACCCCACATCTTTCAAGAATGAAAAATAGGACACAGAGGAGGGATTTGTCACCAGTCTATTATCCAAAAGACCCTAATGTGGTAATAAACAAAGATTTGAAAAAACAAACAAACAAACAAAAAAACACACACACACAAAAACACATCAAGGCCATACAGTATATATTACTGCAGATACATACATGTATAGCTAAAAGTATGGAAATATCAGTAAGAATGAAATACATTATTTTAGGTAACTAAGCTGAATTTTACCTGAGCCCTGTGTTCCTGGAAAGCACTGCCAGTTAAGAAATCCACCCCCATCATTTTGTGTTCTGGGGAACAGGTAACAAAAGGATTCTGCCCTTGCTCACTGGGAGATAAGACCCATCCCTGTGTATCCTCTTAAGACTCGCTGGTTTACCTGTCCCAGGTCCTTATCCTTTCAGTTATTTATTTATTTTGAGATTTAACTGGCTGGTACATTGTGTCTTTGACACTGGAGTGGCTGGTTTTCTCTGGGGAGGGAGGAGACGGGGATAAGAAGATGTATACTTAGATGTAATGGTAACATAACCTGAAATATGGCAAAAAGTTAACCTTTTTTTGTACAAAGGGATCTGTTATTCTGTGTAGTTTTCTGCTTAAAATGTTTCTAAATTACATTTTAAATTATTTTAAAACTTGATGTAGAGTCAGAAAAGGTCACAAGTCAATTCATTCGTCAGTTTTCTGACATGTTAAATAGGCACACAAGCACATGACCAACCTATTCCACTAGGTTGTCTTGGGTAAAAACGTTTTTGCTAATCAAGTGGTACAATACATTTGTAATTCAGTCTGAGCCAATTAGTTCAGTTTGTTAGAGCAGCGTTCTGATTAGGATAAAGTTAAGGTCATATAAACCTTCACTCTGTTTCAGGGGCAACACTACACTCCTACTTCCTGGACAGCAAGATAGCTATACTGCAAATGCACATACTATCAGTTACAAGAGGAGCTAGGCAAGTTTATGTTATGTTTCAATCCATACCCATCACAAGAACTACTGAGCAGATAACCCAAAAAATTTGGTGGGTGGGCTGGTAAACAATCTTCATATGAGGAAACTAGAACACCCGGCACACATACACCAAAGTTTTGTTTGAAGTGTGTAGATGTGGTTGGTGTGGAGGGTAGGCTTTTTTCTACCTTTCCTTTCTCTTCCCTTTCCCCTCCTTTCTTCTTTCATTGGCACTGTAAAGTGAGATTCTGAAAACATGAAATTTCATGGTAAAGTACCCTGGGTTATCTTTTGAGTTGGTTTCAAATTGCTTTATCCCAAAGTGCTAAATTCTAGACTTGGTCAGTACCAGGAAGTGATTTTGTTAATGTAGAACAAAACCATCAGCAGTTAAAATTTAACCTAAAAAAATAAAAAATAAAAAAATGACCTGAGTATCCAGCCACCAGATCGAAAAAGTTTCAAATACAGAGGTAAAGGAACTTTCCATCTTCACAATATTCTCTAGTAGCTGGACAGACAGGAAACGCTGTTCTCATGAGGCTAAATACAAGAGTAACCTTAGTAATGATCAGTCTATATTCTGAACGTTCTTTGCAAGCATCTAAACAAGACTAGTTTATAAGGTCTTCTTGACCTTTTTATACCAAGTATGAAATGTATTTGGAATTGCCCATTTTGATTTGTATTTCTCTTCCTCCCCCAAGAACCAGTAAATAAAACAGATTCTTCATTTTATTTGAATTATAGAAATATGGAAGTAAAGCTTTAACTAAAGTTTAACTAACCATTTAACTAAAGTTAAAATGCTTGGTCCTGTGCAGCTGGTGTGGCTCACTGGTTGAGCATGGGCCCATGCACCAAGAGGTCACCAGTTCCATTCCCAGTCAGGACACATGACCAGGTTGTGGGCCCAATTCCCAGTGGGGGACATGCAGGAGGCAGCCAATGAATGTTCTCTCTCATCGATGTTTCTATCTCTCTCTCCCTCTCACTTCCTCTCTCTCTAAAACCAATAAAGGGGGGGGGGGGAAGCTTGGTCCTATTTTCAAACAAAATCAAGTTTGCAGTCTAATAACTCAAAAACATAGAATGTTAAATCAGAAGACCCTAAACCAAGTTTCAAAGCACTTTTATCAGAGCTGATGATCTTAAATTTATTAGAACTTAAAACCCTTAGATTAAAAATCTTTTAGTATGAAATATATAGAGTTAAAAAGTCTTAAAATACTGATGCTCTTTGTAGCTTACAGAATTAAAGCAAAGAACCAGAAACTGAACAAGATCACACTCCTCAGTCATCAAGAAACTACTGATTAACTTCATTTTTCTTCCACTGAGAATGTATGCAGTCATGAAATTTGCAATACCTTAAGAAAACCAAAATTATTATTCAGTGAAAATATTTTATATGGAAATAAGCTGATACCAACTGCTTCTAGGCAGACAGATGCAAAAACAGTGTAATATTTCCAGCACAGTCTGGTAAGCCTTTGCCTGCAAATCACTGACCAAAAATGGTAATAACGTGTGCAGACTAAAGAAAATGACAAAATGTTCTACTTGATCATCCCGTTAATACTGTCATGTAGCACACTGGAATTACAACGTAGAGGGAAAAATACGTAAATTAAGCAAAGTATCCATCACCAAGCACATATTGAACATCTGTTTACTTTTTAGAGACTAGGATAATTTAACACACTTTTAAAACGTATGCCCACATCTTGCATACTAAATTCTGGCACAGCCAAACTGCTTACAGGTAAAATAAATTTTCTAACCATACGTGGAGTGATCGGGCAGGTGAGGGTTAAAACAGACACAGCCAAGGTTGACAAGCACAAGAAGTGCTGCTGGAAGCTGATTGCCAGATACGACAAATACAGCGGCTGCAAGGCCACCCGTTCTTAATTCTGCAAGGGCCATGCTCGCAGCGATCATTCTGTCCCTAGGGTTGTTCAATAAGGCCTTATTTTCCTTATCGAGATGCACAGACCTCACTGGCTGCATGTGCGCCAGGCTTGGGGGAAAAGTACCTCAACAAGGCCCGTTCCGGGTTCTCACGCCCCCCTACCCCGGGATGGCGGACCCCCAGTCGATTTCACTGAGGGGGGGAGGGGCTCAAACCCAGCGGGTGGTACTAAGGCCCGGCCGGGAGGAACCGCTGAGGCGACGTTCCGGGGCAGCGGCCAAGCAGCAGCTGCGACCAACACTGCAGCCGGGGAGCCGCCCCGGGACGCGGGGGCCCAGCAGATCCGCGGGCGGCAGACACCCCAAAACCACAACACCGGGAGACAGCAGAAGGACCGGGTCCCTTCTGCGCCGGAGGCGGCACGCGGCGCTCGCCCCTCTGCCCAACCCCCGCGGCTCCCAGAGCCCCCGCCGCGTCAGCTCACGCCTCGCGCTCCCTTCCACTCACCATCTTCGCCGCAGCGGTGGCAAGGACGCGGGGCAGGGAGACGGCGGGCGCCGAGTCTGCTAAGCGTCCTTCTCACAGCAGCAGAGCTGAGCGACGGAGCAAGAAGGCAACGCTGGGCGCGAGCCTACCAGGGGGAGGGCACGCGGACGCGCGCCTCGGTCTAAACAGGACTGCGCACGTCACGCGCTGCCCGCAGTTGCTACGCAACCGGAAGGCCTGGCAACGCCCCGCCCGGGCGGTCTTCGGGACGGCCGCGGGAGAGGGTCTTCCTCCACTCCTGGAGGCTGGGGACCCCTCACTAGCTCCAGTCTAATGGGAGTGGGAGTGGGTCCTCCCTCTTCTGCTGGAGACAAGGAGGCGGAGCTTGGACTGGCACCTGCCGGGCGGGCGGCTCGTCTCCCTCAAGAGGCGGGGCCACATGGCGCTCCGCCCACTGCGAAGCCGTTGGCCTTACAAGGAAGTAGCTACCTGACCAGGTGTGCGCCTCCGCTGGGGGCGGGGCCTGGGACGGGAAGGCGGGGAAGGGAGAGAGTGGGCAAGGCAGCGGGGAAGGAGTCGGCGAGGAAGGACCCGCGGGAGCACAGGAGCGGGCGGTAGCGGAAGGCACGCATCCCACATATTTTACCTACTTTGGTGCGATTCTCGCCGTTCTACCCTGATTGGCCCAGCCCGGCACGTCGGCCCTCGTATGAGGAAAAAAATCTGCACATTTTTCCTCCTTCCGGAGGCGACTGTGGCCATAGCGGGTGCAGTGAGTCACCGCTAATTTCAGGTCTGGAAAAAACGAGGAGTGATTTATCTTTGGGAACAGCCAGGGAAAGGAGGCCCAAGGTCCGCTAGGGTGTGGCTGGGAACGGCCTACTTACTTGTCTTGGGATGATGGCGCGAACCCCGCTGCTCCGTTTGGGGGGTTTTAAATTTGGGAATGTGTTTCTTTAATAGGCGGTTGCATCAGAAACCGTTTTCAGAGGGCCAGAAGGAATCCCAACGTTTTTCCTGAGAGTGTTTTTGTGGGGAATAAAGGGAACAGAAAGAATTTACAAATGGGATGATTACTTAATTTTATTTTAGGTTTTATTTAACTTAAGATACTGAGAACATCACGACCTCTACCAAAACTATTTAAATTCTCTAAATGTGAGGCTTTTGAACAGGTTGGTCAGTGTGTTGTTTTGTTTTTTTCTGGGCAGTATCTAAAACTTAGATTGTAAATAGCTTTTGTTCTGACCATTCAACATAGAAACTCATTTCTTATTACTCTCACCATGTTTTTTTTGTTTTGTATTTTTTTTTTAAGACAGGAAGCAAATTGTGACCATTCTAAGCCTATATACAAGATTTTTGGCAGGCTTTGCAGTGGTTCTCAACTTAAAGAGAACTCATCCAGAGTTAGATTTGTGTGCCCCGCCAGAGAGTTTCTGATACTGTGTATCTGCGGTAGGACCCGAGAATTTGCTTTTCTAACAATGTCTAGGTGATGCTAATGCCACTGGTAGGGTAATAACTTTGAGAAGAAAAGAACCTTCCTATATCCGCCTGCAGCTGGAAACCCTTTGTTTCTTTGTCTGGTTGGGACTCAATGCCCGCCTCCACTTCTGAGTACCCAAGACTTCCTTTCTAGTCCAAAATTGAATCCTTCTCATTTAAGGACACAGTCAGCCTGCTCCAGCCTCTCTTCTGCATTTCATCCTGCACGCTGCCAGGAGAGTTATGTCCAAACATAAGAATCTGATTCTGTCACATCGTTGCTTAAAAGTTTTCTGTGGCTTCCTCCAGAATTCTCAGCAGGTCAGCCTGGCCTTTTGGCCTCTGGCCTCAACCTACCTTTACTGCCTTGTCTCCCACATCTTCCAAAGTGCCCAGTTTTTTTCTAGAATGCTTCTTGCTCTGCCATAATCATGAGCCTACTCCTTTCTCAGCCTGAAATGTTCCTATAATCCTACAGTCTGAAGACCTCTGATAACTTCCCAGGGGACCAGTAGTGCTCTTTTATAACCCCACAGTTCACTTCTCAAAGCTTTTTGAGGATCCAGGTCACCTGAAGATCTTGTTAAAATGCAGATTCAGGCGGTTGCGGTTTGGTTCCCAGTTGCCCCGGTAATCCAAATGCTGCTGGTCTGCAGATTTGAGTATCAAGACCTTATAGTTTTTTCCCTACTGTCAGTATAGCTCAGTAATTGTTTGTTTCTATATATTACCACCACCACCTGATTAGACTGAGTTCCTTGAAAACAAGGGGTATTTAGAATGTATCATATATGAACTTGCATAGCTCCTGATAATATAGTAAGTGTTTAATACATGTTTGTTCAGTAAGTAAACCAATATCTGAAGATGTTTTACAGTTCCTCAGGCAAACTTATATATATAAGTTCACTGTAACAACAAAACCCCATTTTTCTTAAGTTCCCATTGAATTTTAACCTTTGCATTTACACATAAGTTTGCTGGACAGTTTTATTCTTCCTCATCCCACAGAGGGAGAAAGTTTTAAGGTCTCTCTTTAAATATGAGATGGGTGTATTTCACTTTTCATTTAGGAAACATACTTAACAATATGTTGTTGCATACTTAATCTGTGAACACATAGGCACTTTCATTTAAAATCATTTATGAGTGGAAAAAATAAATTATACATTAATGGGGATCTTGAAGAGAGATGTGTATGTGTGTAAATAGACTGGAAAAAGTTTTTCTGCAAGAGTATAACCCTGTCAATATACAGTGTAGAAATATTTTTTAGTTTCTCCTCTGCCTCCCCACGAATTCACTTGTTCTGTTTATGTCTATAGTCTCTTTAAAAAATAATTTTAGCCCAGCTAGTGTGGCTCAATAGTTGAGCATCATCCCATGGACCAAGAGGTCCCCGGTTCGATTCCCGGTCAGGGCACATGCCTGGGTTTCTGGCTTGATCCCCAGTAAAGGGTGTGCAGGAGGCAGCTGATCAATGTTTCTCTCTCTAAAAATCAATAATAATAATAATAATTTTAATCATATAAATAAGACGTGAATATATTCTCATTATAAAAGATCCAAACAACACTCCTGAGCACCTCTGCTTACTATTTCCATAGTCTCAGTTGCCTCCTCACAGGTAACTACTACTATCACTTTGGTCTATGGCAGCGGTTCTCAACCTGGGGATCGAACTACCCTTTCACAGGGGTCGCCTAAGACAATCAGAAAATACATATTTCTGATGGTGATTCATAATAGTAGCAAAATTACAGTTATGAAGTAGCAGCAAAAATAATTTTATGGTTGGAGGGCACCACAACATGAGGAACTGTATTAAAGGTCATGGCATAAACCACTAGTCTACGGCCTTACAGAGAAATAAACCTTGTGCATGTCTTTTGTGTTGTGTTTTGCTTTTGTTGTGTAATGGTTTTATGTTGGGAGTGTGGTGTCCTATAGCTTGATTTCTAATTTTCTTGATTTTCTGCCTGTTAGATCTGTCTGTTTCTGATAGAGGGTTGTTAAGATTCCAACCATCTGTTTCTTCTTGCAGTTCTATCAGTTTTTGCTTCACGCAGTTTAACCTGATTAGGTGCATATATGTTAAGAATTGTATCTTCTTGGAATTGACTCGTTTATCATTATATAAGGCCCTTCTTTATCTCTGACAGCTTTCTTTCAAGTCTGCTTTGTCTGGAGTTAATATAGCTACTCCTGCTTTCTTTTGATTAGTGTTAGGTTAGCATAGTATTTTGTCTCCATCCGTTTACTTTTTAATCTATATGTATCTTTATATTTAAAATGGATTTTATGGCCCTGCCGATTTGGCTCAGCGGTTAGAGCATCAGCCTGCGTGCGGTCCACAGAGACCCAGGTTCTGTTCCCGCTAAGGGCACATACTGCAGTTGCAGTTTGTCCCCGGCCCTGGTTGGGTCGTGCGGGAGGCAGCCACTTGATGTGTCCTTTTCACATTGATGTTTCTCTCTCTCTCTTTCTCTCTCTCCCCCTCACTCTATCTGAACAAAGAATGGAAAAATGTCCTCAGGGAGGATAAAAAAAATAAAATAAAATGAAATGGATTTTATGTAGCCCGGCTGGTGTGGCTCACTGGTTGAGCGTCGACCCATGTACCAAGAGGTCACCTGTTCAATTCCCAGTCAGAGCACATGCCCAAGTTGTGGGCCTGATCTCCAGTGGGGGGCATGCAGGAGGCGGCCAGTCGATGTTCTCTCTCATCGATGTTTCTATCCCTCTCTCTAAAAAAAAATCAATAAAAACATATTGACCCTAGCTGGTGTGGCTCAGTGGTTGAGCATCGACCCATGCACCAAGAGATCACCAGTTCGATTCTCGGTTGGGGCACATGCTCAGATTGTGGGCCTGATCCCCAGTGCGGGGGCATGCAGGAGGTGGCCAGTTGATGTTCTCTCTCATTGATGTTTCTATCTCTCTCCCTCTCCCTTCCTCTCTATGAAATCAATAAAGAAAAAAATTAATGAACAAACTAACATTGAAAATAAAAGACAAAAGTAAAAAAAAAAATGTTTTCTATTTCTTGCTCTTGAACTTCTTATTTTTGTTATCTACTCTTTCTACCTTTTGAGCTTTTAATTGAACATTTTATATGATTCCATTTTTCTCATATAAATTTTACTTATTTTAGTGATTGCCCTAGAGTTTGCAGTGTATCTTTACAACAAATTCAAGTCCACTTTCAAATAACACTATATCACTTCTTATAACAAAATAATACTAATTCTTTCCTCCAATTCCTGCTATCATTGCTGTCAGTTACTTCACTTATATATAAGCATACATAAGCATATATATGCACACAGAGATATATACATAAGTGTATATAATCATACATTGTTGCCATTATTTGAATATATTGTTATCTGTTAGATCAATTAAGAATAAGAAAAATAAAAGTTTTTATTTTACCTTCACTTCTTTCTTCAGTGTTCTTCCTTTCTTTGTATAGATCTGAGTTCTGACATATTATTTTCCTCCTCTTTAAAGAACTTTTTAAAAACATTTCTTGCAAGGTAGGTCTACTGGCAACAAACTCAATTTTTGTTTGAGAAAGTCTTTATTCATTTTTTTTTTAATACACAAGAATATGTTATTATTGATTGTAGAGAAAGAAGAAGAGAGAGGGAGAGAGAGCAGGAACAGTGATGTGAGAGAGAAACACTGATCGGTTGCCTCCCGTACATACCCCAACCGAGGACTGAACCTGTAACTTGGGTATGTGCCCTGACCGGGACGAACCCATGACCTTTTAGTGTATGGGACGACACTCCAACCAACTGAGCCATACTGAACAGGGCTCTCCTTTACTTTTGAAGGATAATTTTGCAGGGTACTGAATTCAAGGTTGGTGGGGTTTATCTCTCAACACTTTAAATATTTCACTCCACTCTCTTTTTGCTTGCACAATTTCTGAGGAAAAGTCAGATGTAATTCTTACTTTTGGTCCTCTATAGGTAAGGTGTTTTTATTTTTTCCCCTTTGC